CCCAACATCTGTGGCATGCAAAGGGCCATGGTTCACAACACATAAAGACTGTGGATCAAAGGTTGTGTACAAAATGTAAGTAGATGTCCTTTTTGCTGGCCAGAGAAATATAGGCCTACATGTTGTCTGTACAAACATGCATTTCCTATAGCTTTTTTACATCCTGACAGCAAGCTCTGTTCCTTTTAAGAGGGTCTTTAAAAAACCCACGTGTGATGTGTCTGCATCTCACTGTGCACTTTGGCACCAATGCACTGATAAATATGACGTGTCCTCCCTGACTCAGCACCATGATTTATCTTCTTTCTTCCTCCTGTGGGTCTTACTGGAACAGCTCAGATATGTGGGGAGGAAATGCAGAAGCAGGACAGACTTGTTTGAGGTCAGAGATTCAGACTATTCGTGGCACTGGTGGATGTTTGTTTTAATTGGAGACAGAACATAGCAGTCAAGTATAGTCCTCATATCATTAGAAACATTATTTTGTGCGCAGAAAGGGTTTGTGTGTACAAGGGTCACATTCTTCAACGTAATACATCTAGCATGTTGTTTCTGTGTGAACATGCATGTGACTGAGTACTGAGGAAGCAGTGGGGGACTAGCTTCTATGGGACAGGAATAGGATGGAAACTCCCTGTGAAATACCAGACTGCATGCTGTGGATGTTGTCAAAGGCACATAGGAAATCCCCATGCAGCGATTCAAAAGGAAATGGTCTCACAAACAGTTATAAGTGCTTTGATCATTAGATACACACTTTTCTTTCACTTGGACAAACAATAGTGTTGTTTTCCCTTTTGAGACTACAATACAAATATTATTGTAATTTATAAAACTTTAGCGAGGTTAAACAGTCCATCAGTAAAAGATTTAGCAACACCCTCTATGGTTCCTTCAAATGTACTTTAATAAGATAAGATAAGAGATAAGATAGAACTTTATTAATCCCAATTTGGGAAATGTTTGTTTTTGCAGCAGCATAAAAAGACATGGCATTGTACAATACAGAAAGTAGAAAATATACATGTTGAATTTACAAATGAACAATAACAAGATATAAAGCAAGGTATTATATTTACATAAGTATGTGACGGATGGAATATTAAATATTGGTAGACCTAATAAAGGTAGGTAAAATACGATATATTAGGAAATATAGTTTAGTTGGCGATGATTGTAGAAGGTAGTTTTNATGGAATATTAAATATTAGACTGAATATATAAATGTATGACTACAGTTGTCTTCAGCAGGAGACTTATGGTGAGCTTCAACCTGTTACTTTTCTATTTTGGTTCACAGCTCTCATAGTGACTTATAGCTCAGAAAAAACAGCTCTAGACTACCTGCTAAGCAGCAAAATCAAACTTTGAGCAGCTGGCTGGTCACCATGGTGGAGCATTTTGCAGCTAAAAGCAGATATTTTCATTGGGAGTTGGTGGGTCAAAATAAAGCAAAAGGAAAGTGAGTATTTGATTTAGATAGATGAGGTTACTAGAAAGACTATGACAAATAAAATAAATTATAATATTGCTCCTGACATCTGCTTGAGGTGTTAATTGGAAACTCTTGATATAAAAGCTTGTTTTTGCTGCATCCAAGTGGCCAAATAATTAGTTATTGTATGTTTAGATGCGGATGACCAATGCACTCATTGTATTTGGTGTTGGTGAGTGAGACACAACAATAATGTTAAGAAAGGGAAATGATACGTCTAATTAAGGGATCAGACAGTCTCAATTGAGACCTTTGCAGATTCATATACATGTATTTCATGACAACCATGAAATGTAATGTTACATCATCTGAAAGTATTCATCTCTTGCATCTGGTCTAAAAAGTATCTCCTCCTTGTTCTTTAATATTGTGGCTTCCGCTCAAGGCCAGCTACTTCTGTCCTGCTAACTCAAAGAACCCATTCAGTATATTTATCCAAGTGCTTAAAATAGTTTAGAATACGTCTCACACTGCACTGGTTTCATCCAAAGATCCATTGTTGTGCATTGCTTGTACTCAGTTTTTATTTCACAGCTAAGACAGGAAGCTTGCATGTGAACATTTTGTTTAAATTGACCTTTAATGTCAACAGTGTCTGTTTGATTGTCCCATAAAGGGAAATTAGGATCATTCAAAAAATATTACAAGGGGAACACATGTTTTTGGAACTCTGTTTTAGGTTATATCGTCTTATTTATATTGAGGGGGGAATACTCCTATTTGAAGACTATACTTAAATCTTACATAGGCACATAAATGCTAACAAAGTTACACAGTATAGTGAGTAATACACCAGACGATTAGAATGCGGTACCCTAGAAAAGTGTGTGTGACTTCGTGGCGCAACGGTAGCGCGTCTGACTCCAGATCAGAAGGTTGCGTGTTCAAATCACGTCGGGGTCATGTCTTTGGTTTTCCTCTCTATCATATTGTAGTCATTCACTGAACATAACTAAATAGGACATGCAAACGTTTTCATGACGACTTTATTAACTAACACAAAAAGTATCCTACTTCTGACAATAATAAAAACGAGAATTACCCGGACTCTTTTATAATCCTCTCTGAGAAGGTGTGTCCTGTTGCCACGGAGACGTGTAACTGGGCAACACGGTGGTGAAGTGTGATTGTGGAAATGCTGCGTGTCCCGGAACAAACACTACGAAACATCAAAGATAGTTAGCAATGTACCAGCCATCTTTTTACACTTTCTTCTGCCTTTTTTGTGCATCAGACAAAAGTGTTTTTAAACCACAGGAGATAAAGCAGCGTTGTCTCGGGACTACCCCTGTTTCTTGTGATTAAACGAAGAGTGGGGCTCAGCGTCAGCTCAGTTTTTTTGCAGTCTCTTAAATTTAATGGCCTTAAAGGAAAGAGTTTTTATCGAAGAAGCAATTTATCATTCTGCAGAACAGTCTCCAGACTCGCATAGGCCTATTTATTAGCACTGTGTGCCGACTACATCATGCCAGAAGACAAACACTGTAAGCTGCTGCAGCCGTCCAGGAGCTGCGACACTAAAAAGAAGACCAAGAGGAATAAGAAAAAGAGGAAACAAGTCACTACTTCCTCTACTCCTCCGGGAAACACAGGTAAATACACTGTTTAGTGTTGTAGGAAGCTTTCAGGTCCATATGGCTACAAATAAAGACAAAAGCAACAACCCTGCATTTAAAAGCATTCAACACTATAAAGGATTAGCACCTCAAAATGTGCATGAAGTGAGAAGGCTAAAGAAATAACTATATATTCGTCATGCATAGTGGTCTGATTCAGAATAATATATAATAACAGTTTTTAATCTGCAACAAAGTATCACATTTTATAAAGGATGTTTAATTAACCCACAGCCTCCCCCCCAAAAAACTTTATTTAAAAAAAGCCTGATTTATATTATAAACGTATTGAAGGTACAATTTTGAGATTCTGAACCAAATCTGCATCAATTTGATAATCAAAAATGTTGACTGTTGAAACTGAACTTGTGGTTTCCATTTTGAATTGTTTTCTTACATTTTACAAACTGATTGGTTAATTTATTGATGGATACATGGCACTTTTTCATATTTCTAAACTATACTTTCAGAGAAATATTGTCATTTATATCTGTAGGAACCTAGGCAGTGTTACAATTCAGTTATAAATGTACATCTCATGATTAATATGATCTTTTTCAAGGGCACTCTAATACATCGGTAATCATCCAGTTTTCCAGCAATAGGACCGTATTTCTGCAGAGGATATCACAGTAATTTACATTTTAACATATTATAGCATTATCCTGCCCCAGGTTCGTTCAGAAATTGAGATAGGTCGTTGTTCTTGGTATACTGTATAAAACGTCCCCAGACCTTCTGGAACAGTTCTTGTTTGTCTTTGAGAATGTAAGTGATTTTTTCTAAAGGCAGACATAAAGAGTAATGTAGTTGTCCTGTGTACATATGTATTGCTTTTGGCTCTATGTCTTCGTCCTATATGTATGTGATTTTTTGTATGCTGAAAATCAATAAACATATTGATAAATTAAAAAAAGTACTGATCTAATTATCTTCATAAGAAGATCATCTAGAAGCAGACAATTGAAAAACCTAATAATACACAAAATAAAAAGCTTTAAAATATTTTTCACGGCATGCATTTAGTCACAAAAGTTAGGACTGAACCTAGAGTTGGATCATTTGAACTGACCTTATTACTGTATGTCATCATGGCTTTGCCAATTCAAACCAAGGTCACTATAATTGTTCACAATGTAATAAGTATACAGATCATGTGGTGATGGTAGAGGATTCCCTACAGGGTTGCATAGGTCAACAGAGAGTAGGCCTCCAGTGTAGCTGGCCTGTTACAGCTCATTACTGTAACCATTAGCCCTCCAACTCAAGAGGGAGTCATTAGTAATATAAAACCTCAGCTTTGTTCTGCAGTCTGCATGAGCCTCCATGTTTATTCTACCTCCCTGCAGAGACCCCTCAGGCTGCATCGTTGCCCCCTGAGACCTCGCCTGTGTCCCAGCCCCCCCCACAGAGTCCGGGTCAGCCGCGAGCCCAGCTGCCCATGCTTAAAACAACCAGCCACAAGCACGGAGAGCGGCTCCCTGGCAGCGGCAGGAAGAGCAAAAAACACCCTAAAGACTCCCCGACTCTGCTGACAGCGGCAGAAAAGATCAGTGTCAGTGGAGAGCTCAGCGCCCAGGCCAAGGAGAGCCTGAGGTGGGAGGGCGAGCTGGAAGACCCCCAGGACGAGGAAAAGAGGCTGGAGCTGTACAGGGCCAACAGGCGGCAGCGTTACATCACACACAGAGAGGCTCTGATAAAAGAAACTGCCTTGAGAAAGACTTTTCCTAAATAGAGCAGAGAAAAACAGGCTTTGACTGAAGTTGGTCGACAGGAGTATTCTCTTAATTTGAGCACTGACTGAAATAAAGAAGCAAGTGAGAGCCTCGTGCCTTTTATCTCAGGCTTTATTTTTGACATTTTAAAAAAGATTTAGGCAAATTGAGCAAAATAATGAAGATCTTTTGGTGCTGTTTAAGATAGATAAATTAAGCATGTTGCAAATGTAATACCCTATAATGCACCTGACGGACATGTGTTCTCTGTCAGGTACAAAACAAACAGTATCACGACTGCCGTGGACGAGGACAGGCCCTGTTTAAAACTTAATAGAGGATTTGCACCATTTATCTTCTAGCTTCTAAATAATGTAATACTTCCTGAAAAGACCAAAAGTGGATCTTTCAGGGCTGAAACCCAATCAGGATAATACCACTGAGTGCCCCTCACATCTGTTTACCACAGGTAGATTTCATTGGATGGGGGTCACATGAAATGTTCAACCCCTACAATGTAAGAACTTTAATACAGGTTAGCAGTTTTATTTTTGCGTAATTCACCCTAGAGCAGGGTTGTCAAACTCAATTTCATCGCGGGCCACATTAGCATTATGGTTGCACTCAAAGGGCCGGTTGTAACTTTAAGACGATATAAATATATAAAATGATGTATTATATTACATTATTGCCTCTGCATTGTATTATTATTGGATAGGGTAATAACTTCATAATTAACTACGTCTGAATGCAGAAGTCTAGGGCAAATAATGGCAAGTCTCTTCAGTGCGCATGTCACAAAATGAGATGCATTGTGGGACATGTTGTTTATTGGCAATGTGCTTCTGTATAAAGGCATGTAACGTATAATAAACATATTATATTCTTTGCAAGCTCTTGCGGGCCACATAAAATGAAGTCGCGGGCCGGATTTGGCCCCCGGGCCTTGAGTTTGACACCCCTGTGCTAGAGAGAGATCTCTACCGGGAGAAGCTCAGCTAAACGCTGCGGTGACTAAATGCCATGTTATGCTTCTCCTAACCACTTCAAGCTTTATTTCTGAAACAATGTGGAGCTCAAACCTTTCTCTTTCGCAGGGTTTACCACATGGACATTACGTTACACATATTCTCTCCAGTAGCCTACAGCCTTAGCTCCATGGTTAGCTCTGAGTGTTAGCATGCTTGACAGCCTCCGCAAAATGTTGTGCAATGAAAAGTGGGCTACTAGTAATCTCGAACCGTCAGTTTTTTTAAAAATAGAAGGTCGATACCGTTCTGATAAATATCAATAATTTCGCTGCTGGATGCCAAAATGGCAGGGACATTCGTGTTTTCCTGGAGCAAATGACAAGCTCCAACACTGATAAGTGATGCAAGAAGAGACAAATACTGTGGTGTGCCCTGGAGATTTCTCTTTTTATGCATAGAACGAAATCAAACACAAGACAAAATAGTGTCAAAATGAAAAGTATAGACATCTTGTTATGTTCACTGAGGCGTCAGGTTTACTTTGGTGGCATGGATGACAAAGACCGGGGGTTGCGTCGAAATATCCAAGAATCAGCTCCTATGCGTCCCAACCTATCATCCATTCCTGACCTCTGAGTGAAACGTCACGGGGCTAAGGGGATAGTGGATAGGAGAATCCAAAGGATTTAGATAAAGACTGCAGTGCTTTGAGAATCCGACTGACTTTTCACTATCCTAACGGTATTTATATGCGCCAGCGGGACGTCATGAATGTGTGTCTGCTGCTTTTGGGAACTACAGTTTTCTATACAGCGGACTACAACAGGGAGTGTAGGAATAAGAACGGACTACTGTGAACTCATCTAGAGGACTCTGCACCGCTGCTCTGATGGCTGTTGTTTTATGCTTTATGAACGTGGACAACAAGGAAACATATTCTTCATGACCAAAGTTGCGATTGAAATAAAATAGGAAAGTGAAACTTATGCTCGTCATCCTCTCCCTCCGGTCCAACATTAATACAAATATCCCCAATAGTATGATTGTATTGAAAACATCTTAGAATCAATACAAATGTATTTATTATAAACGTTTAGTCCTTAACATCTATCCCTGTGATATCACCATTTCAAACACTCTTTAAAAGTGTGAACAAACCCCACACAGCTCAGTGAAATTGTTAACTTTATTGATCATTTCAGTAAAAACTAACGTTCATATTTCTCTTTTTGATTATAATTACTGGATGAACGTTCAAAACAAAGCACTTTTGAAAAGTTACCACATACGTTTTGGGAATGCCTTAATAAGCACGCCGTAACTTTCATGATATAATTTCTCGGTCATAATCGGTTGTTGTGTGACGGCCTAATGCTGCGGCCGCGAAAGCATTGCTGGCGGCAGCCATTTTCTCCTTTTCTTTTGTTAAAGGAGGGCTCCAAAGGGGCTTTGGTTCCTAAGCTAAAGGAAGTTTGAAACCTCCTTTCTAATCATCTAGACTAGAGAATTCAAACGGCTCTTATCATGGCGCACTGAGGTCATTTTCACTCCGTTAGAAGGTTCCTAAGCAAAATGGAATATTCGACTGCAACCTGGGAAGGCTTCTCAATTCTCAAATTTTCCCCTCCTCCGACTCCTACGACTCCCTGGTCCTCCGGTAGTGACCCGGAAATGGATTTCAGTGCGCAAGTTGCAAGGACATCTCATTTCTCTAAATTCACATCGAGGGCCAAGCATCGACCATCGAGGAGGGCTCTCCTTGGAGGAGCTATAATCGGAGGATACACTGATGTGGTTCTCCACAGGGCTCCTCCACAGAGTGTATTTCCGACTACAGCTGGATGGTTTCAAAGAGGTCGTGATGCACCGGCCGGACTTATCTCAGCCAATGACAGCTCTGCGTGTATCCCCTGGATATTATTTTATTAACTGCTCTCATCGCGACGCGATGTTTACAGTGAGAACAGCTGTGAGGTCCGTGCAGAAAGCAGAGCAGTGTGTATAATATATATCACTCAGTATAACAGGCCTAAATTACTCTCTGTATTTGTATGCTTTAGTGTAGTAGATATCTACAAACAAAGAGTCGATATTTTTCTAAAAACATTTAGTGCTTCACATAATAACAGTGCGTATGCGGCGGACAGACAGGTCTCAGTTGGTTTGGTGTCCTATGCTTACTTTTAATACTTGTAAATACAACTTTTGGCCCGTAATTTCAATTTCCCATTTCAGCGACCAGAGAGGGGGGGGGGGGGATATATCCAGTCTCTGATTGTGTTACGTTATTATGAGAGTGCTTTCACACTTGTTTGATTCTGAAATTGTATATATTTATATAAATATATGTGTGTGTGTTTGTGTCCGCATCTGTAGCCTGTTATTGTCTCATTATTCCGCACTGTGGAGGAATCAAAGTAAATATATAAGTGGTCATGAACACATCTGTCCATCAGACAGAGGGCTGCTGTGCCTCCTGTCATCATTAATGGACGTCTCTTTAAAATGACCGCTCAGAGGAGAGGAGTTCTCATTTCTCTAAATGCCTGCTGCTTCCCCTCCTCTCTCCTCGGTTCCCCTCCTCGACTCCTCTGCTCGCATCTCCTGCTGGCGGGACTAAGACACGAGGATAGGAGTCGGGGAAATTTGAGAATTGAGATGCCTTCCTTGTATTCAGCAGGAAGAGGTCGTTTACTTAAGAGAACAAAGCAGATATGTTTCTTTCCTCAATGATTCTTAATATGCTGCATTACTTATTTAAAATGTGTTTGGATGCAAAATAAGGCTTAAATATTTTGCTGGTAAATGAATTAACATTTGAGTTGCTACTCATACAGTATAATTGTTACTTATACAGTATAACTCTGCAAATGCATTCTGTTAGGGTTACCTTAAACCTTAAAGTTTCAAATCTTTTACATAAAACATAAGGACACAATATGACCTATTGTCTACAACTGTTGGTTGAACCCTGTAGACAGTTAACTGATGCACACTGTAAACAGGAAGTGAAAGGTAATGTAAAAGTAAATGTGGAGGTTTGAAGTAAAGGCAGTGATAAACCAGCAGAGAGACAGAGACAAAGAGGGAAAGAGGGAAAGAGGGAAAAACGCAGCATTTCTTTTGTGAAGGTTTTGTCACACTGCATTTGTGTTATGTCTGTAGAATGCCTTTTGTTCTCTCTCGGTGTGTTTTGTTACCGTTGCTTATTTCAGCATCTCTGCTTCAAAGAGACGGGCACTCGCCCTCTGTTCTCATAATCCCCCCCTCAGACTCACTGACCGGACCACGTACACTGCTCTGTTAAGGCCACTTGTGTTTATCCAGCAGCCAAGTAAAAGGCTTTTTATCGATAATACATTTTATAGATTTATATGATAAGTGAACACTTAGTAAGGCATCTTGAATATGATGTCTCAGGACTGTCACTGAAATCCTCTCGAAGATCATGAAATAAAATAAAAACTAAAGATATAATAATGCAAGATGAAAATAAAAAAATGAAGATTATAAAATAAGTCCTAAAAGCTGCATCAATCTGAGGTATCTGTTGTTTTCATGGTGGAGTCCCCCTCACCTGACATATACAGTTTATATCAAATACTTTAACACTGTAAATATAAAGTTCACTGTGGGTTGTTGGATTGTATTTCTCTTCTGGTACAAACACTTGACTCCAGCTCTTCTTACTCTCTGTCCTTTGGGAGAGTGGATGTGACGAAGAGACAGATGAATGACGTTCTGACTGCATTTCAACATTCTAAAGATGACGTGTTGAGAGGGGCGGACCGTGTGGATCGAGGCACCTGCAGCCATCTCAGGTCATCTGATCTGTCAGAGAAAGGAACAAAAGATTGTCTTTCTTACTTTTTACTACCCTGTTCCTGTTTACAGTGTTTTGTGTCTGCTTACTTGTCATTTCAGTCTGATACCGCCACTCATTTGAGATATGAATTAAGGCACATAAAAGAAAGTCAGGCTTGTTGATTGGTTTTTGGATTGATTTGATTTGTTTGTTGCTGTTCTGCCAATTGGTTGGGATGGATCAGCTGCTGAAGCAAGGAAAGTGAAAACAAGTTGTGCCTAATTCTGTCTTCTCTGCAGGCAGCAGCAGGGCACTGTTAATATGTAGGAAAGTGGGTGAGATAGTTCTGAAGTCAATAACATTCTCTTATATTTTGTTGATTATAGGTTGAGATGTCAGGAGGAATTTATAGATATTTTATTATTTGTTCACTATTTAGTGAGATTTGGATGCTTGCTTAATTGACCTCCCCCTGCATTTACCTGGGCAGGTGGTATGTTCCACTTAGGTGAGGACGAGAAGGTAAAATGTTTGACAGAAGTAATAGAAGAGAGATTTGAATAAAGCATGACTACGTACAGACATAATCTTTCATCTCATTTATGGTTATAAGTTGTGTCCCGAAGTATTTGATTTTATGCTTAAAAATAAGTGTCACCCTGTCCCCATTCAAACAAAGAATCTTATTCAAGAAACTCTCGTGGCTCAATTAAGAATCAAGATGGCTGCTAAGACAACAATATTTTTTTTTCTTTGATCATGTTGTGCCTAACTTTTTTAGGTGAACATAACATATAATGTATGGAATTAATTCGCAGGTGCACTGGTTTAAAATTAGTGCAAACTCTGCTATGGATGTCAGTTTTGAGCTACAACAAAGGCCAAAAGGTGGCCTGCAACAGTGGCTTGTTTTTAACTAACAGATTGCTGGAAAGGGCTATTGCTACTAAAGCAGTTGTTGATGCACCGGGCCTCTGTTAGCTCCTGAGCTTGTCAACAATCAATGACGGTATAAAAGAAGATATAAAAATAGGCTTTTTAAATAGCGATACACACAAGCAAACACATTACACCGATTTAGGGTATTTTTTTGCCATTTGGGGGCAGTGGAAACAATTTGAGGTCCTTGAACATTATAATATGCTTTTTGGATGGTATTATCCAAAGATGGACAAAATAAGAAGCATTGCACTTACTCAGCCTCTTCCCTCGTGATGACTTTTCCTGCTGCGAACCTCTCGGCTACTGCAGACACCGCGGGGTCGTAGTTTAGGCTCACTGCTGCTATGACCTCATCATTCCTACAGGTTACATTTTGTTTCTTCATTAAACATATATTTGAACATTAATTCATTAAAGGAGTTCTATGTTTCCAGTTACAGATGTTTTTTGTAAACATCAGCAGCTTAACTTACTTCATGTACAATCCCAGGAACTTCTTGTCCTCAAACTTTCCTTTTATTACAATGTCAGTGTATCCCTCCCCATAGCCTGCACACAACCAGAAAAAAAGGAGTGACATTTAACATTGTTAAGCAGATAAATCAGAAATGTATCACGGTTGGATTAATTGAATGCAACTCTTTATCCAAAGCAACTTATAAAGCATTTGTCACGGTTTATTTTAAAGTTAAGTTAGTGAGTAAGAAGTAAATATAAAACCAAAAAAAATATCTATACATGATAATACTTGCCCACCTGCATATCGGATGGTTTTACCCAGTAGGACGGTCCAGTAAAAAGGAACTGAGTTGAGTTCAGTCTGTTTATCCAGCATGTTCAAAGCTGCTATCCTCCCTGCACAACAAGTATGTGTGGTATTAATGAGGGACACTGCAGCTGAATAGGCTTGATATCATTATTAACTTTCCCAGTTGGTCACATATATTAATACAATACTTTTTTTGTATTACAAGTTATCTGAAATGGTTCGTTTAGGTTGGAAAATAAGGTATTATCTTATTCAAACTTTCTGTGAATTGATGAGAAATCTTCCAATGCACATAGAACAATTATTTTTTTAAAAACACTTTGATGTGTGTTTTGGATATTTTTTTCCAAAAAATATGAGTAGGTGTTATGAAAAGCAAAAGCTCAAACTCCAATTAAAAAAAACAATGCTAATGCCAGTATTGTCTCGCCTTACCTGGAATTAAAACTAGACAAGATACTATTTATGTCTGGCTGTAGGTTAGATCTACTCACAGTTAAAGTCAGTCTTCTACGACTTGGCATCAACATTTACATTGTTTCCATATTACCGTGTGCTTGTGCCATCTGCCAGTGTCCGATGTTGACCATGCAGTTTTTGGCCATCGCCAGAGGGAAGGTCGCCAGGTCGCCTCCACAGTACACACTGGGGATGTTGGTGCGCATGTGCTGCAGGAGGGAGATGCAGACAGATAGTTCATGGTGCACAATATACTGATTTATGTGAGGAAATACATTTTAAATAACACTTCTGTTATGTTTGAGATTCTGCGACCGTAAGAGCGTTAAGGCCAGACATAAAGGATACAAATTAGATGAGGAAAAACTTTATATATAAGAAGAAGATTTTTTTATTTTGCAGGATGATAATGAAGCAGAAATTTCAAGGATTAGACTAACAGTCCAGTATGAGCTTGTAGTTTGACTATTGTAAATAATGTAAAAAAAAAGAATAAATCTTACTTTTCTGAATTATTTTGTCCAATGCCTGGCACTAATACTAAACATTCAACTTTAAACATTCAACTTTATTCTCGACATTTTAAACATATACTTGAAAGGCAAAATAAAAAAAAATCTTCGGCTCATCCCTTTAGCCTGGCCTCAAAAACTCATAGTTAAGTCTAACATTGAGAAAGTAAATCTCTCTCAACAAAATACCAGAGTTATGAAAAAAGAACAGGTAATAATAGGTTATGTGTTTGGAAACAGATTGAGATAATCATGTGAAAATGAGGTTATCAGCTGACCTTGTCGACTGTTACAAAGTTTTTTGGGTCCAGCTGTATTTTGCTGCTCCGCAGAAACTCAGAGTTTGCTTTGATGCCTTGTGAAAGAAGAAAGAAAAAAGACAAGGGTTTTGTAGGAATACTGTTAGTGTTGTTGAGCAGTTTATTTCTCTGACAAATTAAATATATCACTGCTGTTTGTGTGCTATAAATGCATAACATAACATTTTTATTTGAATCAGGAAAGCTGATTTTTGGTAGATGTTTAAAAGAAAAGACAGATATCACTCATCTGTCCTGTTAATATGAAGCTACAGCCAGCTAGCTTAGCTTAGCAACTTGAATGTTTAAGACGTTATAAGGTACGTTTATAAATGTAAAATCACATAAATGTCTGCATTGCGCTTACCAATACAAACAATCAAAACATCAACTGGAATAACTTTTCCACTTTTAAGCACAACCTCCTTCACCTTGAGGAAGAAAGGACAATGAAAAAGAGGAGAGAAATAACCAACATTGTTTATATTTTCATAATAAACTTGATGTTTCTTATTGTCCTGATGTTGGAGTGATAAAATAAATGTGTGCTATTCAACTTTACCTTGCCATCCACACCTTTGATCTCCGTCACATTGTCATTCATGTAAAACTTCACATTTTTCTCTGACAGCATCTGCAAGAACAACACGAGTTACAATTAAAGTAGCTTAAAATAGATGTAATGTGAGGATACAATATCTCTTCCTCTTTGTTATTCTTACCGTCATGGTGACTTTGCCAACTTCCCGTCCCAGTGTGTTCTGGTACGGCAGCTCACTGCTGCCGATCACTGTGATACTGGAGGCTTTGTTTATTAAATAAGATGCAACTTCCATACCTGGAAAAATGTGAGAATATTGAAATGAAAACCCCCCAAAAAACACAAATAATGTATTTGTTGTTGTAATAATATGTAAAAACATATTTGTCACACTTCCAACACAGTACCGACAAAAGAAGTTCCCACAAGGGCGACGTTGTGACCCAGGCAGGCTGCGTGGATTTGCCGAGCGTCCTCTGGTGTCTCTAACATCTTGATGTTGTCCAACACCGTGCCAGGCAGATCCAGAGCCTTTGCTCTAAAGAAAAAGGCCATAAATCTGATTATAAGCAGCACAGTGCAGGGTAGAAGTGCTGCAGCAATGACCAATTCACACACTGTATACAGGTAGTAAACCGCTGTTGGTCATCAACAAGTGATTTAAATATTTTATATTTAAGATTATTGTGTGTGTGTGTGTGTGTGTGTGTGTGTGTGTGTGTGTGTGTGTGTGTGTGTGTGTGTGTGTGTGTGTACCTGCAGCCTGTTGAGATGAGGAGCTGGTCATAGCTCTGGACTAAACCATCATCAAATGTGACTGTCTTCTTGTCCGTGTCCACTGACACTGCCTGTAATGTATGGACAGATCAAAATACCACCAGTACTGAGGGTAGACTGTATTAGGTCGATTTAACAATCAACTGAACCAAATTGATATTTAGATAGACAGGACATAGAAAGAGAACTCACTTCTTTCCGGAGCCACACCTCGATGTCGTACTGATGGTAGAACTCCATCCTCCTCAGCAGAATACTGTCGCTCTGTACATTCATTACCTGTAACAAGATGGTAGTTAATACACAACAATTCATCACTTCAATGTTGGTGTTTGTATCGTGTCATTCACTCTTCATCACCTTGCTGAGTCGTGTTTTGTCGTAAGGTAAAAGTTCGTCTCTGGTGACCATGATGATTCTGCCTCCAAAGTGTTCCTGCCGCAGAGTCTCAGCGCAGATCAGTGACGCAGCTCCTGCTCTTACAGTTAAAACACCATCACACACTGAGATCCGTTTGTTTTATTTTGTTAACTACTGCTACTCACAACATTCCAAATACCACTATTTTTATTCAGAGATTTTTATATATTTTAAATTATATAGTGTCTTAGAGTTTAGTTTGAATAGTTTAAAAATAAAAGTTTGTATTCATTTTTAAAACAACAATACTAATGACATCAGTATTGTTTTTTTGTTTTTTTATGAATATAAACTTGTTTATTTGCGTTTATCGGTTTATTAGAAAACGCTTTTTTTCACCAGTTTTCATTTTCTGCTAAATTAATTCTCTAAATGACAAAATGATTGTCAAAAAAGTACATTTTAATCAAAGACATACCAAACAAATGAGTAAAACCAGATAAGTGCAGTAGTGTATTCATTATTTTCCAGAGCTGTATAATCAATTGGAGCCGTCCACACTCACCTCCTCCCAGCAGAAGCACAGTCTGATTAACTCCTGGTACCAAAGCCCCCATACTCTTTACTCTTTTTTCTTGCCTGAGGGTCTGAAACATGTAACACAACTTAAAGTCATCAATGACAATACCTATTATTATCATTGCAAATAAAAAGGGTGACTTTTAGACTAAATGTCTTCTTCTATTCTTTACTACAATTCAAAGAAAAAGGTACACCATTTACAAAACGATTCCTAAAGTTAAACTCAAACGATTGTTCATGCCATGTTTGCTGATTACATGTTGACTATTTTCTGGGAGTTTAACTTTAACACACTATCCAAATAGCCACGTTTTAAATAACCCTTAACCTCCCTAAAAATTGAAAAGTTAGCCTAATAAACACAATTAATATAATATATATATTTAATATATGATTGTAGAGCTTAATACGAAACAAGAAGATAATGCAAGGCCCAGTTCTTAATGAGATATCTAAAAATGTGTGTGAGCAAAATAAATGATGTAATGCATTCATACAGCCCAGTGTTTCTCCTACCATTGTCTTGGCGCCCCGCCAACGGAACCCCGCGCCCCCCCAGAAATTCAAGGTGTTTTAAAAAAATATATATATATATATAGCACCAAATTGCAACTGAAGTAATCTATCTCCGGTCACTTTCCATTAAAACATATTTTAAAAGTATAAGAAACCCCAGTAAAGACTGTGAAATGTTGACTTTATTTGATCATTTCAGTAAAAAAGTAACGTTCATATTTCTCCTTTTGATTATTATAGTGAGTTCATCACTACAATAAAACAAAGCACTTTGGCAAGTTACCACATCAGTTTTAAAATGATTAATAAGTACCGTAACTTTCATGATACTAATTTATTGGTCATAATCGGTTGTTTACGTGAACAGCCGAATGTTGTGTGACGGCAAATGCTTCCGCCGCAAAACATTGTGGGGCAGCATTTTCTCCTTTCATAAAGGAAGGTCCAGTGTTTCCTAAGCTAAAGGAGGTTATAGGAAGTTTCAAACCTCCTTTCCTATCATCTAGAGCAGGGGTGTCAAACTCAATTTCATCGCGGACCACGTTAGCATTATGGTTGCACTCAAAGGGGCCGGTTGTAACTTTAAGACTATATAAATATAGATATATGAATATATAATATATATTAAATAATGTAATATATTATATTACTTGCTCTGCATTGGATTATTATCAGTTCTGGTATTAACTTCATAAATAACTACGTCTGAAAGCAGAAGTCTAGGGCACATAATTGAAAGCAAATATTCAACAATTATATCAAAACTTTTGAAAGAACATCCATCACATTCATCTGTTTGCAATTGATCAATATTCCAATTACTTTTACATAGACTATTCTCCACTATTTCTATTATATTTTATTTACTTGCACTATTTATTTTTTTATTGTGTTGCACTGTTTGAGGAGCCTTTGGCCTAAGATGCTCATTGTCATAACTACACTGTAGCTATGTAGGCTACATATGACAATAAAAGCCTTGAATCTTGAATCGTATTGTATATTATATTCTTTACAAGCTCTTGCGGGCCACATACAATGAAGTCGCAGTCCGGATTTGGCCCCCGGGCCTTGAGTTTGACACCCCTGATCTAGAGAATTCTCTAGCATGGCTACCACTGAGGTACTTCCGGGTCATTTCACTCCGTGAGGAAGGTTCCTAAAGTCAAACTGACAATTCGACTGCAGCCTGGCCCTTATCCAATGTGACTACTGTAGAACTGTAAGTAGCCAAACTTTGCATTTTTAGGTTTGTTTTGGTGAAATACTTTTACAAAAACATGTGTCAGTGTGACTGTAATCCGCGAAGTTTGAAGTCGTTGTTTATCGCGTTCCCTGAAATCATGGTGCATTTAGGGTGCTTTGGAAAGCTCTGAATTTCAAGCAACATGTTATTGTAAACTCACAAGACATCGCATCTTTGAATACTACGTTTTTGTTTTTACGAAGGTAACATTTACTACAATTTACTAGCCTACGTCTTAACAATAATTTGTAATTCGACATTGTTTTGACAACTTTGGCTACAGTGGGTTTCAAACTCTCAGCCCATGTTTTTTAGTTAGCAAATAACTAGGCCTAATTGAGGTGTGTTGAACTTGTTTTATTCCCAGCATATGTACAACTAGCTTAACTTGAGTTTAGAGTGGGTATTTAGCAAAATCAACAGGAAAAGTTAAGAAGGAAAATACTTTTAATAGCTTTTTTTGGTCGCAGAATCAGTACAAGAGTTTTCTTTCCCCCTGTTAGATAGTTTCTAACTCACCTATATTAATTCCTCTTGTTCTGGTTTGAGAGGGGAGTTTGTATAGCAGCTGATGGTTTAAAATGTTTTTAATTTGCACCATTGTTACATGCAAAAGTAATTCAGGATAACACACAATTATTAGCCATCACAACACCTTATCGTGATGTGCTCCTTTCCATATTGAAAAAAGTCAAGTTGCAATTGTGAGAACCACTATGACATCAACTGAAAAAGAAAAGTAAATCTACTTACCTTTTTGTTAATAGACACGTACACTTTTTTGTTTTGAATTTTGACCTTAAAAAGAGGGGGAAAAATACATGTTTATTTCATTAAAATGACAGCTAATAGATGCTATGTGTCTGTGTGGTTTGTACCTTGTGGCACGGTAAACAGTCCATGCCGGGGTATTCCTCCAGGTCCCCTGTATGGATGTTAAAACAGGCTCCATGCCACGGGCAGCGCACTTTGTTGCCTGAAATAAATCCTGACCGCACAATGACAGTGTTAGGAAAGAAAGCAATTATTTAAGAAGAATACATATACAACATGTGTGAAAAGGCTGTATTTTAAAATGTACACTATGGCTTTACATAGAACTGTTGTGTCTGTCTAAATGGCAACATTCAGCTTCCACAGATGAAAGCATCCCATCCTCAAAGAGTCATGTGTGAATCAAGGGACAATAGTGAAATACTAAATCTATGTGGATGTGCATCTTTACCTTTGCTGAGTGGAGCTCCGTAGTGTGTACACTGGTGACCAATGGCACTGTATCTGCCTTCACTGCGTGTCAACAGCACACTGTGGTTTCCCACTTCCACCTCCATCATCCTGAGGTAACACACACACACACACACATACTTAGGGGACATTTTCCTGCTGAAACGTCCTTCTAATGAATTTGAATGCAGGAATGCACTGTGGTATTTGCACTTGTTTATATTATAAAACCGTTTTTTATAATATAAATATATATTTATATTATAAAAAACCGTTTTCTCCTCCTTACTGTCCATCCTTCAGGTCTGACTCTAGACACACCACCTCCGTCAGCTCCTCTGATGAGTCCTCTGGATCAGAGTCCGGAAGCTCTTCACGGGCTGCTAACACACACATGCACACACATTTCAAAGAAGTTATAACCGACTACAGTTTTAAATGTTGTTTTCCCTTGATAAAGATCATTACTTTCATTTCAGACACCCAGTGATTAGACTGCTGTTAAATTAAGTGAAAGATGGATAAACTGACTGTTATTGAAATAAATAAATATTGAGACAGTTTACTCACATGTTTTGTTCCCTGACATATCTCTGATTCAGCGTTAACTCCACGAAGAAACACAAACCTCACAGTGAGTCAGATGCTCTGTTCAGAGATGGTTTTTCTTTTGCAACAGCCCAATTAGTTTCCTGCACATCAGCTCAATGATGGGATAGTAGAAGTCCGTTTCCACGGCAACCGGTCCATCCCCAACCCTCATCCCTTGATCCTGGGAGACAAAGTGTAAAAAGTGGACGTTTCTGTCGGGTTTGATAGCCTAAGACGAGAAAAAATCAAGCAAAAAGTAACTTTTGGGACTCCGGTGAATGAACTGTCGGTGTGATGTCAGTGGTCATGTTCAGCCCTGTTGTTGTTGCAGAGAAAGGCGTCGCTGGTGCTTTGTGTTTCACAGCGGAAGCAAGCAGAAAGGCTGACGAGGCAGCCGACACTGAATGGACCAGCAACAAAGCATAACTTACAAAACCAGAGGTAGCCGACTGTCATTCACACATCGTTTCAAGTTTCAAGATTCATCAGTGCAAAGCTCAAGATTTTAAAATGATTTACTTTTGTGCGTTACTGTGAAATGGTGGAAACAAATATAATTTCTAACTTTAGTACCAGAATTGAAATATTCATTACATGTTCTAAAGTCAAAAGTAATGCATTTAAAAGTAATATCGTCAAAGTATAAAGTACCAAAAGTAATAGCACACATTTTGCCGATCGACCCATTTTGGAAAAATGCACCATTTATTATTATTAAATAACAATAATAATAATAAATACAAGTAATAGAATACAAAGTACAATATTTGCCTCTGACGAATAAATTAACCGGTAATACTAAAAAATAAAAATAAAATCCCAAAATAAGAAGAAGGCAAACAGTACTTAAGTTACGCTTTATTCACAGGTCCCTTAGTTCATTTTCTCATTGCATTAATGAGTAAGTTATGTATAGCTTTTACAGTTATTGCAGTGTCTTTGTTTAATGGTTTGATATGATAATTGATGGTCTATTAGATAACTGTCCAATTAGATGGCATGGTTGCCTGGGGTTGCAGAAATGGCCTTTTACTTATTTTAGTCGTTTTGAGGTATCTATGGGGGATGTTTGTTTTAGGTAAGTGGAGCAAATAAATAGTTGGTAGGTTTTGTATGTGTTGGCCCAGGGAGAGAATTGTGCCTTGATGTCATATCGTCGTGTGACCGCGACCTTTACCTGCTGTCAGTGATCAGATTGTCACTTCAAGTGAGGGCAGGAATGTGTGTTAAAGGGCAGTGTGTGTTTTTGTGAAAGACTTCAGCAGCGTGTTTCTCTCCCTCTCCAAAGTGTGTTGCAGCTGAAATATGTCCTGAACACATGAGGACCTGGGATTTCAAGTGAACTATAGACTCCAGGTTCTCGATTATGGATCTAAAGTCAACACTTCTGGTAGTCGCAGGATCTGTTTGTTCTTTCAAACTGCTGAACACCATCCTAAGATTCCTGCCAACACCGGAGCAGGCGCTGAACAAGTCGTGGAGGTGGAGGAACATCAGCACCTCTCTAGCTCACAGCTCGCTGAGTGGAGCATGGGCTGTTTTATGGTGCGTACAGACAGTTATAAGTGTTGGAGCTATAAATATTTTGTATTTCATGTGTTTTCTCTCTCTCACTATGCAGCTTCTACCTTCAACCTCAGTTGTTGGAGGACCTGATCTCCCGTCACTCCTTGCTCTCTCACAGTCTTGTAGCTGTGTCTACAGGTGACAAAACACACAAATATCCACACATTCACACTTTAGAAGACAATAAGTAATTTCACCCAATGAGAATTAAACAGGAAATGAAATCCACAATGTATTTCCAATGTGTCATGCTGTTGTCTGTATGTTGCCTAAGTATATTTAATTATTGCTGTTTTATTACAATATTCTTTATCATTGTCATTCTTTTTTTTAGATTCTCTGTACACATGTCTCAAATACAAATGAGAACTCCAAATGAATATGACTTTCTGAATAAACAAAGTATAAATAGGCTTTATATTTAAGTGTTTTACAACAAGGACATCTAGATCATGCTACAATCTGTTACTTGATTGTATCGAGTCTAAGATGTTTGACCTCACTACAAGTCATATGCTGATCATACCAGGTCCCAAATGTAAAAAAGTAACAACATATAAGTGTGGAAATTATAAATATTTGAACAATTTCACCCACCTAAACCTAATTTCTGTAAGATGTATTAATACAGTTCGAACAATGCTCAAACTAAACAGTGAATGTTTTTGACATTTCATGGTGTTTTGTGAAAGAATATAAAGATGGTGATTTTGCTTCCTCCTCTCTTAGGTTATTTTATCCATGACTTCTTGGAAGTGGCCTTGAATCGGCCATTTAAACAGTCCTGGGAGGTGCTCCTCCACCACTCAGCGGTAATACACTTTACACCTCGTGTGTGTGTGTGTTTTTTTATATTTGTCGCAGAGAGTTCATATTGCAAATGAAAAAATCCCAAAGAAAATAGAAAAGCAAAGATTTCCCAATGAAACATGCTGCTAATACAGAAAACGCAACCAAATACAAAAATGCTGCAAGAATTACTCCAAACCTGAGTATAAACCAACAATTTCAGTTTGATTGCATAATTCAGGTAATTTGGAGATACTGCATTCGGCGTTAACTATTAATACAAAGTTCCCGGTGTGATCAGTTTTAGGTTTTCCCAAAGAAACGTGTGTGTTTTGTCGTACTTGACTTGCATTGGACATCATTTTGCTGTTTATGAAGTGTAAAAGTAATACATTCATTCTTTTTTGATGTGATTATTTAGTTAAACTTGGAGTACTTTACATGTAATGGAGTCACTTTACATTGTGGTTTACTTCTTCTTAATGTCTCCAGCTCTTTCATATCTGTGTTGTGATAACGCTGAGGTCAGTGAATGAAATCGCACACTCATCCTTCACCTCTGTTTGAAGCTGCAGGTGTTCAGCCTTGATCCGTGTGACAGTTTAATCTCCGAGGCGGCAGAGGTCACGTCCTCATTCACCTGCAGCAGGAAAACCGCTCGCCGCTTTATTGTGTGTGTGACTTCAGTGTCACAACATTGTTCAACATAAGACCGGTGTGTGTGTTTGCTAATGTGTCTTCCTTTGCCATGCAGCTCTTTTCATTAGCTATATTTATGAGGACAGGTAGTAAAAGCATTTATCTCTACATCCTAATCACCACTCATTCTTTACAGTTTAATGTCTGCTTGTGTTGAGTGGGGGGGTTTCTGATAAGTCATAGGACTTTATGGTTGCCAAAAATAAAATCTAAAAAGTCTTGGCTACACAACAAAAGTAACAACAAAAATGTTCAATGTCAGAGGACTTTCTGCTGAATTATAGAGATGGAATAAAGAAGCCAGCCAAGTGTAATTTGTGTAACTTGGCAACCTGTAACCTGTACTTCTAAATTATTATTGCAATGTATAATGATGAATTAATAAGAGATTTACTTTCATTTCAACATTATTACATAATATAAACCATTTAAATACATTTCAACACACTAAGAACAAACTCTGCAGAACTATGGGTCACGAAAACTGAACTTAAGAAACCTTTATTTCTCTTACTTAAATACAAAATTAAAGTTTTGCTGCATTGTCTCTTAATGTGTGTCTTTGTTTAAAACTCTCCTCTCAGGTGCTGTCCTGTTTCGGTTTGGCCCTGACGTCCCGCCTCTACGTGGGTTACTCTGTGGTGTCGTTGCTGATTGAGATCAACTCGGTCTTCCTTCACATCCGACAGCTCCTCCTCCTGTCAGGACGGAGGAACAGGACGGACACTAACACCCCTCGCCCGTCTGTGACCTACAGCGTGACCAGCTGGCTCACCCTGGCAACGTAAGTGCTGCATCTCCTCTGCTGGTTTCACACAAGTAGAAATGAAACATCTTTGTGGATTAGAAATGGTTCATATGTGAATTTAAAAATCTGCTCACATGAGAATCAGATTAGCATGTGTTGTAATTTTCATTAGAAAAGCAATGGCCTGTCATATGCTAAATGCACTAAATTAAGATCCTGTTGCAACTGCTCTTTTATTATATCAATAAAATATAAAGAGGACATATTATGCTAACTTTCAGGTTCATATTTGTATTTGCCTGTTCTGTGACATGTTTCCTTTTTGCATCCAAAAAGCAGACATTTGCTTCTGGTTTGCGTGTCTAAAATCTACTATTAAAAATAATATATTAAATCACATTTTCATAAAAAGTAAATACACAAAGAAACTCAAATCTAAGGATGCTACAGCCAGGCTCTGTCCAACGTAACATATCAGGAGCTGCCTTTCAGCACACATTTCAGGAGTAATGTCGTTTATTAAAAGCATTTGTTAAAAAGGTCTTCACAGCTTCTTTGTCTCCCTGCAGGATGTTTGTGTTTCGTGTCTGCACGGTGGGCTGGATGACCCGCTGGCTGGTAGCTCACAGTGAACACATGCCTCGCTTCGTCCTGACGATGGGGGCCACGGGCCTGAGCCTCATCTCCATCATGAACGTGGTGCTGCTGTACAGACTGATCAGGGCCGACTTCATCAGCAACACACACAACACCAGCGGGGACCTTTAGAGGGAGACAGTTCTCGGATCCAAAATAACTCCATTAGCCCAGTTTTCCACCTCATGACGGGCCTGACCACAGACTTATTATGTTCTTACTTATAATGTTCATCATTATAGTAAAAAGTGAAGCATAGCATATCATGTCTTTTGTGGAATTAGACATACAAAAATAATCACACAAGAGCTGCTTTAAGCTCTAATGTAGACTCAAAAACAATTATGCCTAAAATGTTGACTTTTCATCTAATTTTATTACATAACTGCAGCATTTCATGTGATGTTTTTCTACCATGTTGAGTGTGGATTCAATAAACCACTAAATAACTTGAATAACTTAAATGGTATTTACATTCTCTTTTTTGTTTACATTTGGTTAACTAAGGATATTTATTTTCTATTTAATTGTCTCTTGACTTTAGTTACCTTGTACTTAAAAATATTGCTTAATTTTTGTATTTTGTATTTTTATATTTACTCATGTTGTGTCATTCCAAAATATTACATTACATGCATTTTAAATGTTACATGTGCCTTATTTTCTATTGAATCACAAAAATGTTAATAATTGTTTTCTTATTTTTATTGGCATTTTCAAACTTCATTTTTAATGAAAGTGAAAAGCAGCAATATGGCGCATAGGCGGGAGATACATTAACAGAAAAAAAAGTTTTCCTGTTTTATACAAATACATTCAAATGGCACTACATCATCATTGTCTTTTGGAGTAAGGTAATCAGAGAGGGACCTTTGCAGCCTGTCTTGGTTTGGACTTCTTCTTTGACGCGCGGCAGGTGGATCTTCTCTGTCCGTGACTCTCTCTCATAGCAGGGGCAAACCTTCAGGTGTTCGGACATGGGCGGCACGTTTTGGAAGCACCAGGAGTCGACAGGACTGAACAAAGTGCTGAACTGCCAGACCTGAAGTCACAGAGGAGAGACGGGTAAGGGAGACAGATCTGAATATTCAGTCTTTGGCCAATGATGTAACTCCATCGGAGATGGGGGGACATTGTCACTTGTTAAAAACCTATTTATTATTTGTAGCTTGATTTGTATACCTTAAGCGGTGTCCTTTGACTGTCTAGTAGCCAAACACCAAATGAGGTAAAGATGATAAACATGTTGAATTAGTCATCCAAGTCATCTTTAGTTATTAACATGTGTTCTCAGCAGAAGGTAGTGATTGTTTTGGACTCCAGGTGGTTTAATCTTTATTTGTTTACATTCAATATTCTCCTAAAGAAATATGATTGAAGGGAATACAATCAAATATTAAATATGAGATAAGACTGTTTTATGAATATGCACATGCAATGATTAGCTCTCATTTTATCTTTAGACTCACCTTCATTTTGACCTTTTTATAAATAACAAAGACGACTTTCTGTTTAATGCACATGACATACTTTTAACTACCTAGATGTTGGTGATAACAAGCCACGCATGTATATATATGTAATTACTCACCGTCTCCGTCACCCTCCACTTGGCTTCTCCATGTGAGTATGTCTTCTTCTCCCAGCGGAGGGTGACCATGCCTCTCTCCTGCAGCAGAGAGGAGCTCACCTGCCTCATCAGCTGGGACACCAGAGCCAGCTGGGACAGAGACAGACTGTCCAGGAAACTGGCCATGTGGCAAAGCACCTCGTAGGGCAGCGAGCTCAGAGAGTCTTCCCCTCCTCTTCCTCTCTGACCTCCTCTCTTCCTCTTAGTGGTGGACGAGTCCTCTGAGCTCCCGGACGGCTGGGAGGTGTCACCCAGAGACGAGGGGGTGGTGGGATTCAGGCTATAGCAGCCGATGTCCTCGCTGAAAGCAGAGTGGAAACTGTTAAAAGCACTGGATTTGACCGGGTTGAGTGTAATTTATCTGCAAGTAATTGTAGAAAATACACTTGAAAAGGAAACAAAGAAAAAGGGTGCGCCAGTACTACGCTATATTAAAACGTTTTATCTCACTTGTAGGAGACGGTGGCTTCATGTGTGGAGGGCTGAAACCTCTTCTGGCTGTAGGTGCATCCCAGGTATGATAGGGGGCATCTCTGCTCGAACCATCCATTCACACACATCTGAATGTCACTGTGGACGTTCCTGCATGAGAGAGCATATTGATAATTGCTACGATCATTTAATATATAAATAACAGACATATTAATTGTTCTGAAGTTTTAATCTCGGGATTCTTCTCGTCTCACCGTGACAGAGAGATGGTGTTTAGTGCATTATGAAAAATCTGACTATGTCACTGACTTTCTACAGAATATAATAAATTGTGGGTTTCAAGGTTTGCACTTATGGACCCCCTTTGAACAAAGCTTGGAAAAAGGTGCCCTGTCATCCCCACTTAGCTTACTTGGTAGTTTCACTAAGTTTCTGGATTCCTATGGTATCCTGATTATGTTTTTAGTTTTATGTAAACCAGAAGATACTCAACAATTGGGCCAAGAAAGCCTTATATTGTCTTTACTAAGGCTTCGTTTATTTTCAGGCTCTGGGAAAGTAAGAGAAACCGTAAAAAACTCCAAAATGCCCGCATCTATTTTACAAAATGACACATGTTTTTTTATGTGTATATATGTATTGACTTCATCTAATGCTTCCCCTCTTCTACTCACTATGCCTCTCCTAAAACCTCTTACTCTTAAAACCTCTGAAAGAAGGTTATAGGGTTGGTAATATAAGTCTCTAATACACAATACATTTCATTTTTTCTTATTTAAAGACTGTATAGTAACTAATGCAAGAATATAAAAAAATATGAATTCCAAAGATATTTGGATACCAAGAATCAAAACCCACTTATAATGTTTGCCATATTCTCTGCGTTTGAAGGTGTGTCCGCAGAGGAAGGTGAAGGCGGAGCTGGCCTTGTGGTACCGGCTGGTGACGCTCTCCACCTGCAGCTGGAGGTGCAGCTCCAGAGGTTTAGCAGCAGTCAGATCTGCCAGCGATGTGTCTCTCAGGAACGGGGCGGACAGGAAGTTGTAAGTCTGCGTTCCCTCGTCCTGTAACAGACCGTCCATGCACCTGCTCTCTGCGATGAGGTGACCCCTCTGCTCCTTCTCCAGGGAGCACAGCAGAGAGGCCTGAGGAGCAAATCAGTTATTCTTTTGATAAATAGATCAATCATGTTGGAGGGGTTTCAGTGAACAAGAGGCTCTGTTTGTCTAGTTGTTATTGCATAGAAGAAATATAGATAATAGTCTTTTTGTCATCTTGAACGCTTTCGGAACAGCTTATAGCACATTAAAAATGTATTTCACAATGCACCAGAGCCCAAAATGAAACTCTACATTATATTTCCAATCTAAAGCCTCAAACCCCAGATAATTGACTAAAAGGATAATGGATAATGTTCAATTTCTTTTATATTTGTGCACATATTTTAAAGGATTGTGAATTTGTCATGGTAATGCTTTTGTACAAAAAGGTAAGATGTAAAAAGTTCTCTCTGTCTTAGAGATAATACTGTTAAGTCCGACTCCACAGGTAATTATCACTCCACTGCAGTTCCCCTCAGCTCTAGTGAAATTGTGAGCCATTTTAGCCATACAGCAAGTCTTCACCAGGAAAAGTAATGATAAGCTACTTTGATCACAGGCAACCTTGGTAAGCAATCAAACCATGTTATTGTTTTCACCCCTAGTAGTAGTGGTATTTCATATTGTGTGTTTAAAAGTGGTATGAATTTGTCTCTGACCTGAACTTCCTCCCACACTGGCATCTCCTGCAGGGACACCCCCAGGTCGCTCGTGTCCACAGCTTTTTTCTCCCTCTTGTAGAAGCCAGGGTTGCGGATGCGGGAATGCTTTGCAGAGAAGCTGGTTGGGGTTTTAAAGGTCCGCACAGTGATAATCTTCATGGGCTCCACATATCCGTAAACAAATTCCTTTTTCTTCAGTTTGCCAGCGAGACTAGAAGAGGAGTTGGAAGCAATGCATGCACTGCTCCCCTGTTCGCACGTGTTCGAGGCTGCTGCACCCCCACAGTTATCCTCTGTGTCTTCCTCTGTTAGAGTCCTTAGACCTGTTCCTCTCCCTGCAGAACGACTCTGGTCTTTGGCTGCCTTTCCTGCTTCCCTGCAGCCACCCATGTCCTTACTGAACATACGCTCCCAGGCGTTGTAGTTTTCTAAGAGATCAGCATCAACTGTTGAGTCCATAGTCCAGAGTCTCTCCTCCTGAGTTTGCTCAACCTCATCTTCATTCTCATATTTTATTTCACCGCTGTTATTCATGACAAGCGCATGAAAAGGCTCCAAGGATTGAGAACTTGCCTCCATTGCGGCCTTTTCTGCTGCCTCCTTCTTCTGCTTCTCCTTCCTCTTCTTCTTCTCTTCCTCTTTCTCCACCTCATCCACACTCTGGGTCAGCTCTGGGAACAAATTCTTCATCTTCATGGAGTGAAATAGCAGGTCCTGGTCTTTCAGGGCCATGGCCAGGTCCAGACATCCGCCCTGCTCCCTTTCCCTGATTAGGTTTTCATGCAGCTCCGTGTTCGGATAAGAGTGGGCGTCATTGGCCGGCCAGCGGTTCCACTCCATGGAGCAACACACCAGGCTGGCAGCACACACCTGGAGGTGAGCTGCCTGTGAGGAGCGAGGCATGTGGAGCGGGCAGCCGAACCCAGCGTTGAGGCAGGGCACCCTCACGTTGGGGCAGAGCAGCAGGTGGTCCTCCTCTTTGCACAGGTGGAAGACAGCTCCACAGAGCAGGCGGCAGGGGGATGACAGCGCAGCGCAGCAAACAGACCTCCCCACCGAGCTCGGCCTGCGAGCGCGCCGCCCTGTCACAGCAGCGAATTCGCACAGTGGACATGCTGTCTCACCCTGGAGGCTCGAGTACGATCACTCTGATTGGGTTCACAGAGGAAGGAATTAAAGAAAAGGACAAAACATAAATGATGCTTATGAGATAGGACCTCCCCGACCCTTAGGAACACTGACCAAAACTCACACATGCACTTCAAGCTGTTTTTTTGTATAGCCCATGATGGAAAGATGCAGGGAGAAGAAAGTCTTATCTTACCTGCAGCTTAATCAAAAATAGATGGTGTATCAATCAAAGCTGCTTACAAGCACAATTTACAGTCACTTGAAACCCCAAAAAACGAAATCCAAAATCACCACAACAATCAGCGAAACGGGTTACCTGACATCTCCATGCTGTCTAATTATTATTTATTTATACATTTTCTTAATCCTAAAGATGTCCATAAAGCCCTTTAAATCATTCGGTAAATAATTCAACAGTTTAACGTCAGCTACAGATAAAAAAAAAAGCCATCATGAAGCATGACAGTGAGTTGGATCGGTTGGTTGGGACTTTGTAATCACAC